TCGGTAACGCAAAATGCTCTTCACACCAAGGCTCCCAAGAGCGAACGGTGACGTAAACAAGCTGATTAGACCAAGGCTCCCAGCAGGGAGCGATGACGTAACAAGTTCCTGACACCAAGGCCCAGCCAAGGCTCAGGAACGGGCGGCAACGCAACAATCTCTGAACACCAAGGCTCCCAGGAGCGAGGGGTGAAATAACAAGCTCTCAACGCCAAGGCTCCCAGTACGAACGGTGGTGTGAGTAATTTCGGTCAAGTTGTTGAAGCGCTCTTTCCGTTTCCGTGCCGGCCCAGGCCTGGAGCTCCGGCCACGCTCGCAAGACAGAGGCGCGCGGCTGCCGCGGAGGTGCAGCTGCGTATGACCCCCTTCACTGCGCTGCACAATACGGGGCCAGGAGGCGTGAGCAGGCAGCGTGATTGCCAAAGCAGAGAAGCGGTGTAACCGGTGGAATGGCGCGCTGGTCACGCCACTGAAGGCTGGTACGATATACTGTTCCGAGTTGCGCATGCCACCGAAAGCGTGCCAGATGTCGGGGCTCGGGCAGAGTGGGGAAACAGACAGTAACAAGCAGAGCACCACGAATCCAGAACCAGGCCCTGCCCAGGGGCAGCAAAAGTGATCACCACCATTCCAGAACAGAGCCATGCACAAGGGCAGAAGCATAGCGGTCAACATCACGGCAGCCACATGTGATAGGCGCAACTTTCGTCCTAGAACCAAGCCCTGCTCAGTGACAAAAGCATGCTGATCACCACCATTCCAGAGCAAGGCATAGCTCATGTGCGATAGAACTGTTCGCCGCCATTTCATAACCAGGCCCTGCTCATGGGCAGTAGCATAACGATCATGATCATCATCATTCTGGCAAAATGATGAAATCATCATGAGCAGGGCCTAAGCTGGAATAGTGGTGACTCATGTGTGCGAGTATGATGCTGGTGATGGTGCTGACGACGATGATGCTGTGTGTGAGTGTGACGGTGACGATGGTGGTGGTGGTGGTGATGATGATGATGATGATGATGATGATGATGATGATGGTCATGGTGATGCGGCTGCTGATGATGATTATGATGATGATGTTTATGGTGATGATGACAATGGTGCTGTTAATGATGATGATGATGATGATGATGATGATGATGACGATCGTGATTATGATGGTGATGATGATGATGGTACTGATAAGGTTGATGACGATGGTGATGCTGATGACGATGATGATGCTGCTGCTGCTGCTGCTGCTGCTGATGATGATGATGATGATGATGATGATGATGATGATGATGACGGAGGCGAAGCTGATGATGGTGATGAAGATAACGACGGAGACGATGATGATGGCGATGTTACGGTGGCGCGAGTGCTTGAGTAAGAGAAGACGGGTGAGGGGGTCCTTCCTGCGCGGGCTGTCCAGAAAAAACATGAACCCCACTGAGGATGTGGGGGAAATCATGGAGGAGGAGCGAGAAGCAACAGCCAGTAGGGGCCCCCGCCCAGTCGCGGGTGACGCCACTTGTCCACATATTCCGACCCTGGCTGGCAAGGCCAAACCTGGACTCAAGATTGGCGCATACGTCTCCATCGCCTAACTAGGCTGAACCCAGGATCGTCCTGACCGGCATCTGCGTATGTGGCTATATGGCGCCTCCCGCGCTCCAGGGACAACGACAATGGAAGAAGTGACGGAAATTTCTGCTTACTCGAACGGGCCGTACACCGGACCGGACATGGTGACGGAAGGCTGCACTGTGCGTGGGGGCGCAACATAGGCATGACTGCCCGTCCGTACGGAACTTGTACACATCGTTCAAGAGCTTTATCGCGGTCTCTGCGGCTTCACCTCCACTGCGCGGAAATAATTGGAAGCGTAGGTACATTATGAATTGTGGAGCGCCAGGGGAAACAAACGGGTGACAACAGAGTAACAGCAGCAAGAGCAGAAGCAGGAGCAAGAGAAACCCGATATCGGGTGAGCGATGTGATCAGATACTGCCCAATCTGAGGCCGCTCACAAAAGATGCTCTGGCACAGCAGCACTTGTCTACAACAGCGCTGGAAGGACCCCCTCCTGCGCCGCCAGGGGGCCCCAGCGCGGATTCGAGAACTCCGCGTGAACCTCTAAGTTTTAATGTCTATGTCATTCTTCGTTTCCCTAAGTTGACGAACACGTCCGAAAACCCCAAATCCCCATGTACCCACCACCCTCCTCCTTCTCTTTTTCCTCCTCCTCCTCCTTTTCCTCTTCCTCCTCTTCTTCCTCCTCCTCCTCTTCCTCCTCCTCCTCATCCTCTTCCACCTCATCCTCCTCCTTTTCCTCCTCCTCCTCCTCCTCCTCGTCCTCCTCATCCCCATTTTCCTGCTCTTCCTCATCCTGCTCTTCCTCCTCCTCCTCCTCCTCTTCCTCCTCCTCCTCCTCCCCCTCCTGTGTGCAAGAGCAATGGCACGCGTGCCACTTACTTATAGTAACGGTCGTTACCCAGGGGGGGGCTCTGGGTGACAGTATAGTCAAGCCATACAATAACGATACGCGGCAAGAATGCAAGGGCCTTGGAGGGCCATGTTGGCGTTTTTTGAACGAGGATGGCCAGCGAAAATGGCTAAGGATGGGCCGAAGGGGCAGGGATGCAAGGGCAGCTATGGAAAGTTGATCATCCTTACTGTGCGGGCCGATCGTGTAGCCTTTAAATAACTATTTCTGGTAGCGGTCGTTACCTGGGGGGGGGGGGTTCTGGGTGACGGTAATCGGGCTCTGGGTGACGGTAATAGGTCCGCGCGGAATTCTCGAATCGGCGCTGGGGCCCCCTGGCGGCGCCTCCGGCGCCGCCCCTGGCGCGCTCCGCGCGCCAGGGAGGGGGGGTCCAGCGCCGATCCGAGAAATCCGCGCGGACCTCCGAGTTTTGATGTTTATGTCATTCTTCGTTTCCCTACGACTCCTGGTGGCCTTCGCGCCTCGGGATGCGTTCCAGCAGCCGCGCCTCGCCGAGCGCGGTCGGGGGGAGGCACGTCGGGGCAGGGCTGCGCTGCGATCACCAAGATTTGCGCGCGAGCTTCAGAGACGGCGTGCGGCGCGGCTCGCGGCGGCGGCCCCGGCGACACGCCGTGCCCTGCGAGAGGATGGCGTGTCGCTCCGCTCCGCGAGGCGGGAGGCCAGGCAGGGCTCCGGGAGTCGACGCTCGGGGACTGGGAGCGAGGAGGGCCAGAACCCGCGGCGCGACGCGCTGAGGAGGAGCTCCCGACCCGAAGACTGCTCCGCCCCACGACGGCCCAGAGGCTGCGCAAGACCGTGCCAGGACGCCCCCGGGGGCCCGAGGAGGAGGAGGAGGAGGAGGAGGAGGAGGAGGAGGAGGAGGAGGAGGAGGAGGAGGGGGAGGAGGAGGAGGAGGAGGAGGAGGAGGAGGAGGAGGAGAAGGAGGAGGAGGAGGAGGAGGGAGGGGGGAGGAGGAGGGGGGAGGAGAAGGAGGAGTCCTGAGTGGGTGCGGCTTGAGCCAAAATGGCTACGGTCACGTTGCCAGGCGTTGCTTGAAGTTGCTTGACATTGCTTGGTGTTGCTTGGCAACCTGGGAAACGCATCTTCAAAGACAGAAAAGAAACGAGAACAAGGATCCAGAGGAGCCCAGGCAAAGTCGGCCGCCAAAAACACTGAAGAAACAAGACCAAGAAAGAACCCGAGGAGTCTGAGAAACCCAGTCAGCGCAGGAAGAATGCCCCAGGGCAAAACCTGAGTGGGGAAGCTCGAAAAATCATGCTGCTCTGGACCCAGTCTTGTCTTCAGGGAGCCGTCATCTTGCTGCGGGCCCGCCCTGGCCGGATTCGCAGCGGTCACACAGAAGCATGCAAAAGGCCCCATCAAGACGGACCCAGACCGCTCAAAGACGGCCCGAGGGTGGCCCGAGGCCCGCCGAGGACCGCTCCCGGACTGCCCGCGCCCAATCCGCGACGGCCGTGACGCCTCAAAGATGCGCCCGGGCGGCCCTGAGACCCCCAAGACAGCTCCAACATTCCAGGAACGTTGTGGATGCCATGGCAGTGGACACTCTAACAATCCTACCATTGAATTGCAACTGCGTTTAACATGTGTAGAAGATGTTCTAAAAACGTTTCAAACATGTTCTTACATATTTGAAACATGTTTGAAACCTTTTTTAGACATCTGGAAATTATTTGGCAGCATGCTTCCTCTCCAGTAATCGACTTCCACAACAGGAACGCTCCAAGAGGCATCCAGGGGCAGCCGGACGGCCCCCGAGCGCTCGGCCCCAAAGGGGCCCCCACACGCGTGCGCAGGCACGTGGTCACGCGGCGGTGCCACGATTCCAGGTGAGGGGCCCGCGGCGCAGCGGCCGCGAAGCGGCGCAACCGCGCATGCCCTGCAGCATCGCGCACTTGCCTCCCCAGGCACAACTGTGAGAATTGCGCTCGGCGGTGACCCTCAGGCCGTGTATTCGCGCCAAAGTCGGCCTCGCCCAGTCGCGCGTGCGGATTGCATCTGCCGCGCTGCGACGCCAAAGTTCGCGCCAGCGTCTGCTTGCCCACGGAGACCCTTTCCACACGAAGCAGGCGGCGTAGGTGGGAGCCGTCGGCGGAGCAGAACGGGAAAACAAACACACACACACACACACACACACACACACACACACACACACACACACACACACACACACACACACACACACACACACACACACACACACACGCACACGCACACGCACACGCACACGCACACGCACACGCACACGCACGCACACGCGCACACGTCCTGTGGAGCATCGAACTTGTGACCCGCTAGCACATCCGGCAAGGACCAGCATCAGATCGGGCATGTCCTCCTACAGGCGGGTATTGGACGACAAGCTCTTTATAGTCCGACAAATATAAAAATAGTCCGAAGAGCACGACGAATCGCCACTGCTTGTTCACTATTCTTGAATGGTCCTCCGGTAGAGGGACATGCCCCTCGTAAGAATATCACGATACGAGACATGGATTGCACATCAGACCGACCGTCGAAGCCAACGAAATACTCGTGAGCTCGAAGTGGGGATCGGAGGCCCATCGGCGTCGAAACTGTCAACTTGCTACTCTGACGCACCTGTCTCCGATCGACATCACCACGCGGGACTCACGGCTTACACAGGGGGTCGGATGATTGCGGCACGAAGAGGCAGCGCCCGTCTGGTCAAGCCGGCGTGGGACTTGCAGACGGACCTCAGGATGGCGAGGAGGGGGAGGCGGAGGAGGAGGGGGAGGGGGGGACCAACGGCTTTCAGCAAGAGGACGGGCGGCACAGTGCAGCGAGGCGGAGACGTGGCGAGCGGGGAGGCGGAGGCAGGACACATCACCGCGCGACAGGCAGGCAGCAGGGCACGGGAAGGGGCGGGAGGGGGGGCTGCACATTCCCGGGACCGCGGGCCGCAGGGAAGACATGGCCGGATGCCCCTCAGCTCCCCGAGCTGCTGGACGACTCTGTAGCAGGGTCTCTGTGCCCGTCGTCGTCCTCGAAGCTGCCGTCGCTGTAGCCGCCCCCCTCCTCTAGGATTAGCTCGGGCGTGTCCTCCTACAGGCAGGTTTTGGACGAAAAATGAGAAGTTGTTGAAAACACATACTCAAAGATATGCAACAAATGCTAGAAAAATCCTCCTTTGCCGATTTGCTTCACTATTTGTGAAAAGTCCTCCTGCAGAGGGACACGCCAGACTTGACACTAGAACCAGCGCGAAGGGGTCATGCTGGTGGTGCGGGACCCTGTCTCCGCTCGAAACATCCCCCATCCCCAGCTCGGGGAGGCGTCGTGGACCTCCACGCTGGAGGTACAGTGGAGGTCCAGTGGAGGCCCGTCCACAAGAAACCTTCCACAAGAATCCCCACCCGCAGACCCCAGGACGTCCACTGATCCTTGGTGTGGGAGCGTCGCGCTCTCCAACGCCGGACCACCGCAACCCGAGAAACCCGGGGCACTCTGGAGAGGCAAGCAGGGTGCCTCTTGGCAGGGGCCCCCGCTGCAGCACCCCCGGTGGTGGTGGTGGCGTCGCCCTTCTTGCCCCAGGACCTCCTCGTCGCCCTCGTCCGTGCCGTCGGCAGAGGCGGGTCGCTCGATGAGGCACCGGGCGGGGGGGGCGAGCCCTTCTCCGAGCGCGTCCCCGGCAGGCACGGCCTCGCCGGCGCGGACCTGCGGCGGCAGCCCCTGGGAGCCTCCCCATAGCATGATGTCGGCTCGTGCGGGTCGGCGCCGACCGACGCGCATTGACGCTCTCAAGCGACGCCAGATCGACGCTCATCGACGCTACATGGGCGCTCTATCTCACCGACTCCTAGGCGCTATTATCGGGCGCTAGTCGACGCGAGAGGCGGGATTCAGAGGGCCTACGGGCTCCCATGATCTGCTGCCGAACGGACCTTCATGCCCACCGGGTCTATCACGTCCTGCTCGAGGCACACGGGTCGGAACTCGCCTCGGGTCGCCGCACAGATCGCGGACAGCGCCCGCCACCTCAGGCGGTCCGGGACGCAGTTGATCGCCACGACGTTCACGCGGGGCTTGGCGCGGTGCTTCCGGTGCAGCGAGCGGACTAAATGGAGCAGTGCATCTCCGATCTCGCACTTGCCATCGGTCACCACGTAGACCCCCTCCAGATCCTCAAATCCGAACGCACGGCGCAGAGCATCCAGGATATTGCTCTGACCGCCAGTGGTCAGCCGCTCGATGAAATACATTGCATCCTCCAGGTTCTGCGCCGAACTGTCACGAAGCTCTGGGAACAGCTCTACCTGCCTGCCCGTGCAGGAGAGGACGCTGAAACGCTTCGATGACTTGCGGAACTGCTGGATTAGCACCAGGTTCAGCGCCGCCTGCACGTCCTCAATGTAGACCTGCATTGACCCAGAGGTGTCTAGCAGGAACAGCACGTTGTTTTCCGCGATCCCGCCGAATATAGACCGCGCCACCACGCACGCGACCTCGCGACGATCCGTCTGGAACGTGAAGCTCTGTGGCATGTACTCGGTGGGCGTCGCCGCCCTTGCCACCACGAACTCGTGCGGGGCCAGCAGCTGCATCCTTGCGGGTCCCAAGAATGTGAATCATCACCACCTCCAGCCCTCCTCCCTCCTCTACCCTTCTCCTCCCATCCTCTTTCCTGGGAGAGGGGTGGGGGTAGAGAGGACCTCTCTAATCCCACCTCTCTACTGTTGATTTTTGGGCCCCGTAATCCTGGCCCTGACGGCGCCCCGATCATCGGTCCGCAGCCTGCTCAACCCGTCGCCGCCGTCCTCCGGGAACCGGGCGGTGAGCGCGAAGTCACAGTCGGGCGCAGGCCTGCCGTCGGGGGTGACGAGCCTGAAGTCGACCTCGACGGTCTTGGTCGCAATCGTGGCCTGCAGTGGCGAGAAAGAGCCGTCGTCTCGCACCTCCACCTCCACGCGGGACAGAACAAAGGCGGACTGGTCCGACGGCGCGAGTCTCAGGACGAAGCTCCCAGCCGGCAGGTCGCAGGTGGCAACACCTATGCTGTTGGTGCTGCCCGCCATCACCAGCTGCCTGCTGTTCGGTGGCGTCACCTTGAAGGGGCAGTGAGGCACCGGGTCCTCGAATCGAGTTCGCAGGACCACCTCGCAGGTGAAGCGCAGCCGCCGCACAGAGACCCGGAAGAACTGGGGAGCCTCGGTCTCCTTCACCTCGAACACCTTAGGAAGCAACTACTGGGAGGTCTCCGTCGGAAGGAGTAAGGAGGACTCAGCCCCATTAGGGGGCCGCTACGCCAGAGTGGGCCTCGGATCAAGCCGGACTAAGCGGGATTCAACGGAATTAAGCCGGATGAAGCGGGATTAAGCCGGAGAAGGCCGGATTGCGGACCAGGACAAAATCAGAAAATTTGACCTCCCAGGAGCTGCATCCCAACACGCCTGCTCGAAGGCCTCCACGGGCCAGTCGGCGGGCGCCAAGCAGCTCCCCTCGGGCCCGCCGTCGTAGGACACGGCGTACGTGCCCCTGCTGGCCATCGCTCGGACGTCCACTTCCAGTGTATTTTTCGGTTTCGTGCGTGTTTTTTTTCGCCAACTGATCAAGGATGGTCCTCGATGGTTCTCGCCGAGAAAAACATGCACACGTCCGAGCGATGCCAAGCCTGCTGAGCCGCACCCTGCCGCGGCCGTTCACCCGCGTCCAGAGCGTCAGAGGCCCCGCGCCCGCGCCCTCGCGCTGCTCCAGCCTCAGAGGGAAGCGGCCCCAAGGACGGCCGAAGTGGTCCACCACGAAGAAGGTGCACTTCTTCTTGAGGACCGCCGTGACCGTGAACCTCTTGTCGGAGGTGGCTAAAGGTGCCCCTGGCTCACGGTGCCCCCAGCTTTTCGCTCAAGTTTGGAGCTCCTGGGACCCTCTGGACCTCGTGAGGGGTACTCTGGAGACCGTGGTGGCCTCCTTGAAAATCCTGGGGGGTACCTTGGGCCAGGGGCACCTCTAGCAACACCCGATCTTGAGCAGGGGCCGACCATCCCTGCAGTCCTATAGGTCTACCGCGATATGTTCTGAGAGCCCCAACAGGTTCTCTGAACAGAAGCAATGGTCTCGTAACATAAACCCGACGTGTTAAAGCAAGACAGTCCCAGCCAGAAATGTTCTTCGAACATCTCGTGGAAACCACAACAGGTTCTCAGAACGTTGTCTGGCAGGCCTAGAGGCACGCCGGGACGCCTCGCCACTGCTTGAACCTCTGCGTCTTGAAGATCACGGGCACGTCGATCGCGCTCGGGGACATCCGCTCGTAGCGGGACTGCTCGTCGCAGCGGAGGGCATAGCGCCCTGGGTAGAAGAGGGCCTCGCAGGCACCGGCCGAGTCGGAATGCAGCTCGAAGCTCTGCCCGCCGGAGTGCGTGCAGTGGAAGACGATGCAGGGCAGAGGCACCGGCTTGTCCTCCGCCGACGCCCTCCGAGGGGCGTCGGCGGCGTCGCGCGCCGCGGGCTCCGCGGCACGGCCCTCTGGCGTCCTCCGGTGCACCTCGTGGGAGGCGGCCCTCTGCTGCGGGGTGACGGCGGGCTTGAGCTCCTTGCCGATCAGCGCGATCTTCACGGTCACGCGGCAGAAGTCCCGGAGCTCCTGCAGGACGTGCTCGGTGTTCGGCCACTTCCTGCACTGGAGCTTCGAGAAGACCGTGTGCGCGCCCACGCACTCCGCGTCCCTGCCCACCAGGTGCCGCCCGCGCAGGCCCTCTGGCATCACCCGGACCTCCATGGCGTAAGGCGTCGGGACGTCTACGACGTCGACCTCGAGCTTGCCCTCGAAGAGCGCCTCCACCGCCTCCCTCAGCCTCTCCGAGCGCGCGGCATAGTCGTCCTCGTCCACGCGGACGGAGGTGACCTTGCCTGCGATGCCCGCGCACCGCTCGATCTGCACGAAGAAGCCCCGGCCGTGCCAGAGCCTCTTCAGGGGCGTCCGGGACTGGGGGCCCGCGCCCCAGAGTTCAAGTCGGGCCTGTCCCCCTACAGGCCGATTTTGGAGGAAGAATTGAGCATGGTCAGAAATACCTTAAAATACCAAAAGATGGTTCGAAAATCGTCCCCAAACTATTTTTTAAACTATTTTCGACTATCCCCCCTGTAGAGGGGCACGCCCGACTGAACCCCAGAGGGGGGCTCGCAGAGCGCGGCCCGAGGCACGCGCGCGGCCCAGGGGCTCGCCGGGGGGCGTGCTGAAAGGCACTCGGCTACACGCAAGGGTGGCCCTATAGGCGAGAGCGGCCTCTGGTAACCAGCCTCGAACTGATCCCTATCCCCAAGAGGGGCGAGCCAAAGGCGAGGACAGTCTCAGGGATAGGCCCTCAGGAACTGAGGGAATCCTCAAGATCGGCATCGAGGTGAGGTGCTGTCAAACGTAGGGACGGGGATAGGCTTCAAACTGGTAGTTTGGTGCGCGGCGCAAGAGGGGGGCGTGGGGGGGCCAGACCCAGGCGCGCAAGCCGCTGCTGCCGCTCCGCGTGCAGCGATCGGAGGACCCCTATCGGGCCCGCACCAGGAGGTCCCTCCGGCGGAAGGCCACTCCTGCGTCCGGTCGAGCCACAGAGGCCTCCAGAGCAACCCAGCATCGACTCCGGCTCGGCAGTCGAGATGCACCGGGTCGGCTGAAATCGGTAGCCAGGTCGGGAGAAGTCGAAACGGCGGAGATCGGCAGGCTAGTCACGCCTCCGTGGAGACATCGGAGCCCAAATCGGAACCTGGAATCGAATCGGATCGGAATCGGCAACCATCAAAATCGAATCCAACCGAATCGGAGGAACCGACATGAGCCCCAAGGGCAGGAGAGTCCAGAATCGAATCGATACGTCGGATCGGCGATCGAAATGAATCGGATCGGCGGAAATCTGCAGCCGAGTTGGGAATATCGAATCGGCGTAAATCGGCAGGCCAGTATGCCTCCAAGAGGAGGTCGGAACCCAAATCGAAATCCCAATTCGAATCAAATCGGAATCGGAAGCCATCGAAATCGAATTGAATCGGAGGAGTCGAAATGAGCCCTGCCTCAGGGGGCCCTGAAACGCGGGGAGATAGCATGGCCCCGGTCAGGATGTCCACCCCCCTTGGTCATCCCCACCCTTGTTTGAAGGAACGAAACACGACGAAAACATAAACTGTTGGCGCTCCGCGCGGATTTCTTGCATCTGCGCTGGACCCCCCTCCCTGGCGCGCGCAGCGCGCCAGGGGCGGCGCCAGAAGCGCCGCTGGGGGGGGGGCCCATCGCAGATCCGAGAAATCCGCACGGAGCGCCAAAAGGTTATGTTCATGGCGGATTTCTTATTCGATGTTGGCCGCCTCCGGACATCCCGCCCCTCCAACTTTTTCGATGCGCGGGCCCCAAAGGTCTGGCCTTAGTGGGCCCCGGAAACGGCAAGGCCGTTTTTTCACCGTTTCCGAAAAAGTGCCCCTTGAAAACGGAAACGGCAAAAAACGGCGACCGGAAACGGCAACAAAAACGGCTCCAGGATTGGAACCTGAGCGGGAACCCGTAAAAGAACGGCGACGGATCCGGTAAAAAACGGCGTCGGAACCGGCAAAAAACGACAAACGGAACCGGTACAGAAACGGCCCTGTCGTTTCCAGGGCCCACTCAGGTCTGGACCACTTCCCCAGGACCGGTTTGTCGTCCCGGGTAGATTTCGCACGGCCCCGAGGCCTGGCGAGGGCTCCTATATAGAGGCCGAAAGACCGGCCAACTAAAACCCGCCGCTCCCAGTTCTGTTGGGAGCGTCGGATCTCTGGGCCCTGGTCACCCCCCCCCCGTCCCAGAGATCCGACGTCGTGAGTTTTTGAAGACGGGGTCCCCAGAAGTCTCGACCCACTCCGCAGGACCGGTTCTTCGTCCCGCGAGCCATTCTGTGGACGGTCCCGGGGCCTTGCGAGGGCCCCCTTGAGGCCGAAAAATAGGAAAGACCTCCGTCTTTCGGGGACGCGCAGACATGGATCAGCGATCCATGAATCTGAGGTCGCCAAAGCCATGGATCGGGGGAGGTGCCCTCCCCAGAATGCGGCCGGTGCCGCCTCGCTCGGCGGCGGAGCTCCGCGATTTCCCCTGGCAACGGGGCCCGTCGCGGGGGGTCCCCCCCCGTACTGGCCGCCCCCGCGGACCTGCCGCCGCCGGCGCCCGCAGCGTCCCCGGGCTCGTCCGGCGGCTCCTCTGGACGCCCGATGTTTTTTTTTTTTTTTTTGTTCCTTCTGGACGCCCGAAGTGGGTGCACGGCACACGTGGGCATGAGGCCCGACGACAAGCGTCGTCCAAAGCCGACGGCGGGCGCCGTTGGGCAGGCGGCTTGGGGCCTTCGGTGAGCAACGCCCGCGGCGGCGCGGACAGCGAGTCTTGTGCGAGATACGCAGGAACTGCTCTTGGGCATCGTACCCCTTCTTTCCGTCCCAGAGGTCCGACGTCGTGATTTTTTCGATGCGGGGTCCCCGGAAGTCTCGACCCTTTCCTCAGGACCGGTTTTGCGTCCCGAGTGGTTTTTTGACGCTCCAGGGGCCCGGCGAGGGCCCCTCGAGGCCGAAAGATGCGAAAAACCTTCGCCTTGATTTTTTGTCATTGCGTCTGATCTCTGGGGTGCCCATTTCGATCGTCCCGAGCTCCCAGGCCCGCGACGGCGCCGGCGCCGAGGAGCCCCGCGGGGCGCCGGCGCCGGCGGTGCGCGCCGCCACGAGGGCCGCAGAAGGCCTCTCTGGCCGCCTCGCGGACTTCTCTGGGGGAGCAAAGGGCGGCAGGAACAAGTCTGAGTATCGTTCAGCCTTGTGTTATGTTGCCCCCATCGTACTTAAGGACCACATCCCAGAAATAATGTCGAGCACCCGGGAAACTGTCGAATGAGTGTCGAAGTAGTGTCGAAACAGTGTCGGACGAGTGTCTCCCAGGGCCCGGCACGTGAAAACCTTGAGTTTTGGGATACTTTTCTGGCGCTCGAAATTCTTTTTGGTGATCACGGCTAAAGTAGGTTGGAACATCATAAACCTTGTGGATGCCATGACAATGGACACTCTAAGAATCCTGTCATTGAATTACAAATGTGTCCAACATGTGTAAAGCATGTCCTAAGCATGTTTCGAACATGTTGTTGCATATCTGAAGAATGCTTGAAACATGTTGTAGTCATGTGGGGATGATTTGGCAGCATGCCTCCTCTCCACTGCTCATCCTCCACAAGAGTATCGTTTCACTGATCCCCATCCCCAGCGGCGTGGCCTGGGCCCCACTGGCCGATTTACCCCCCTATATAGATGGTGATGTGGGCCGCTCCCTGCGGGTTACGAGGGGCGTATCCCCAACTGGGGTGGTGCTTTTTGGTGGGGGTCCCGAAGGGGATGGGGATGAGGATGGGGATCGGTGAAACGATACCCAAAGACATGGGACGCACAAAGACATGAGAAGCACGCTGGTTTCTTATAAAAAAAGGGCGCTTGATTTTAAAAAGAAAAGCAATTTCTTGGGGGAGTTCAAAAACAAGTACGAGGTTGGGTGAACGAGAAATGACGTCAGCATAAAAACGAGGAGGCCGCGCGGATGACTCGGATCGGCGCTGGACCCCCCTCCCTGGCGCGCGGAGCGCGCTAGGGGCGGCGCCGGAGCCGCCGCTGGGGGGGTCCAGCGCCGACCTCCGAGTTGTTATGTTTATGTCATTGTTCGTTCCCCTATATGTGCCCGATTCCGAAACCCCAAAAAACGTTTTCATCTCTTGGGGCCGCATTTCTTACTTCCGCCGCCTTCCGCCGAGCTTCCACCAGCTTCCACTGGAGGCGGTCGCCTCATTTTCCTTCCGCCGACCTTCCGCCGCCTTCCGCCGCGGAAGAGATGGCAACTCCTGCGATCCTCGAACGCAAGGCCGTTGTTGGAACGCCCCATGTGTCCTCCTTGGAGGTGCGCGTCCGACCCGACGATATAGTATACCCATCTTGTAATGTGTCGTTTCCCGAGCGGTGTGGCCAGCAAGCGCCCGCCACGAGGCATGTACTAAAATACTTCTCGGTGCACGCATCGCCCCTGGAGAGGCGACGCACACGTAGTATTGGTATGTTGGGGCGACAACGAAAAAACGTTCGGAGATCCGCGCGGAGTTCTTGGATCGGGGCTGGACCCCCCTCCCTTGAGCGCGGAGAGCGCCAGGGGCGGTGCCGGAGGCGCCGCCACGGGGGGTCTCCAGCGCCGATCCAAGAACTCCGCGCGGACCTCCGAAAATTTATGTTTATGCCCCTGTTTGCTCCCCGATGCTCGCGGCGTCGCACGTCCGCGGAGTCCTTGCGGGTCCTCGCCGACAGAGGCGGTCCATACAGCTCGGGTCTCGGGGGCATGGGGCGGTGCCTGGGGGGGGGCCGGGGGGTCGGGGAGGGCCACCCCCTGGCCCGAAACAGTTGCGGAGGGTCGGGGCGGATACGACGACGTCTGTGATGGTGCCGCCGCCGCCGCCGACGACGACGACGTCCAACAGAGGCAACTTGTAGCAGGAGGGAGCGGGCAGAATGAGGAGATGGGGACGAGGACAATAACCATGACGAGGAAAAGGGGGAGCAGAAGATAGGCCAAGCTGAAGCGCAGGCTACCTCCGAAACATATCTGACTTCAGGGAGAGTTGGACGTCAGTGCAGTGCCATTTTCGCACCGAGGGGGGCCTCTCGTTCCTGGAGCAGGGGCCGACCGTCCCAGCATTCCCAGAGGCCTACCACGAAATATTCTCAGAACCCCAGCATGCACTAAGGACTAGCACAATGTTCTCAGAGCATGAGCCCGATGTGTTAAAACAAGGTGGCGTCAGCCAGGCATGTTCTGAGGACATTGCGCGCAGATCACAAAAGGTGCTCAGAACATTCGTCGGTGAGCTTATAGGGAAGCCAGGACGCTTCGCCACTTCTTGAAAGCTCCAGCATCTTCCATGTATTGAACTGGGCATCCCGCCCAGTGCGCATTCCATGACCAGACGAAATGGATGGGGGCGAAGAGCACGAACGAGGGACTGGGCAGGATGAAGCCAAACTGTCATCGAGCGTATGGTACTCCGTGTGCTGCACCCGTGTCCACACTCTGGCATCTCACTGTTTCTAACGAGAAATCTATATATATATATAAATATATACGTATTCAAATATATCCCCATCACCACATGGACATCGTCACGGCATGATGGCAACACATGCGTGGGACAACGCATCGTCCCTCCGCCTTCACCTCACATTCCCTCTCCTCCTCCTCATCCTCCTCCTCTTCCTCCTCGCTCGTCATCTCCTCCTCCTCCTCCTCCTCCTCATATCCCTACCCTCCTTTCCCCCACTTGCTCATTCTCTTCCTCCTCTTCCTCGCATACAAGAGTCCTCCTTCCATTCCCCTTTTCCTCCTCGCTCCTCTCCTCCTCCTCCTCCTCCTCCTCCTCCTCCTCCTCCTCCTCCTCCTCCTCCTGTTCGTTGGGGAATATCTGGAGTTCTCTGGAAGCCCCAGGTGCCCCTGGAGGTCCCCGGAGACATGCGAAGACCCTCCGAGGCCTCCCGATGCAGACGTGAACACACCGAGCTCCTCCCCTTCCGCCTCCCCGTCGGTCTTGATGAAATAACAGCACGCGCGCTCAAACCCAGGAGGAGGAATAATGGGCAAATGCAAATTGTTACTGTTGTTGTGGTTGCTGTTGCTGTCGTTGACGTTGTTGTTACTGTTGTTGGTGCTGCTGCTGTTGTTGCTGTTGACGTTGTTGATGTTGTTGTTGTTGTTGGTGGTGTTGTTGTTCTTGGTGTTGATGCAGGCACTTTTGTGTGTGGCCTCGGGCTGTCGGACCCCGAGGAGGGGGATCCCGTAGTTCGAGCGGAAGAACCCACACCCGACAGCACACGCCCATACATACAGTGGAGGCCAGTCCACAAGAAGCCTTCCACAGAAAACCCAAGCCTGAGACCCCAGCACGTCCATCGACTGTTGGCGTGGGAACGTCACGCCTTCCACAGCAGAACCATCGAAGCCCGAGAAACCCACGACACCCTGGAGGCATGCAGGGTGCTTCTTGGCATGGGTCTCCACCGTAGCCGCCCCACGGAAGTCCACCGGAGAAACCTGGGGGTCGTCAGCCCATGATCGGCGGCCTGCTCGGGGGGGGAAGTGAGAGGGAGTGGGCCTTCTCAGAAGGCTCGGACGTGCCCCCAGCCCTCCGAAAAGCGCTCCGAGCCTCCCCCCGAAGGCGCAGCAGCAGCTTCTCAGAAGGCGCCAGGGCTCTCGAGAAGCCCCGCCGCCTCCCGAGAGGGCCTCCTCTTCTCGCTGCCCCCCCCCCAACGCGACGTCCGTCCTCCTCCTCCTCCTCCTCCTCCTGCTCCGACGTCCTCCTCCTCGTCCTCCTCCTCCTCCTCCTCCTCCGTCCTCCTCCTCCTCCTCCTCCTCCGCCGTCCTCCTCCTCCGTCCTCCTCGTCCTCCTCCTCCTCCTCCTCCGTCCTCCTCCTCCTCCTCCTCCGTCCTCCTCCTCCTCCTCCTCCTCCTCCTCCTCCTCCTCCTCCTCCTTGTCCTCCTCCTCCGTCCTCCTCATTCTCCTCCGTCCTCCTACGCTCGCCCGCCGCCGACGCGACGTCCAGCGGAGGCGCGCTGCTCGTAGATGACGAGGGCCGCGCGGCCTCGCTCGTCTTTGGCCGGCTGGGCGCGCGCGCGGCGTCGGGCCGCGGGGGGGGGGGGGAGGCTGGGAGCGGCGGGGTGCGGGCGCAGCAGCGAAGGCACGGGCCTCAGAAGTCGGCGAGGGGAACGGTGGCCGAAGAGCGCGCTGGAACAATAATACTAATACTAATAATCATCATAATAATGATAGCAAGACTAATAACAACAATATGATAACAATAACCATGATAAGACTGCGAATAAACATACTACTAAGAGGAAGAGGAAGAGAGGAGGAGAGGAAGAAGGAGAGATACAACAAGAGCTCGACCACTAGATACCTCCCGCCAGAAACCTGGCCCTGAGACCCCAGGACGTCCACTGATTTGGGGTGCGGGAGCGTCACGCATTCCACGGCAAAACCATCGACACCCAGGAAACCCATGGCACCCCAGAGGCAAGCAGGGTGCTTCTTGGCAAAGGTTCCCACTGTCGAGGAACGAGCAACGGCATGGTTCTGCTTCCTCGGAGGTCCGCCCAGATCTCTTGGATCGGCGCTGGACCCCCCCCCCCCTCCATGGTGCGCAGAGCGCGCGCGACAGGCGATGGATTAGACGGTCGACCAGAGAGAGAGACAACCGAGCTCAGGATTAGAAGGTCGACCAAGTCTAACCAGGATGATGGTCCAGTTCCCTGGGCGTAAAATTCGGAGGCACGATCTCTGTACCCAAACAGCATGTACCAGCCAGCATGCGCAAGCGAACATCAAATGAGGCTGAGGCAGAATACGCGATCCATCCGCTCTTTGACGTGACTCTCGGGACCCTCGCCCAAAAGGTCATGCTGAAACCAAGCTCGGATGCAATATATACCGCCAGCGCTCCGCAACATGAGCGCGCTGGCAGGTGTTGGGGGTCCTGGTGCACGGCAAGTGTCTGACCTCGGCAAGTATACTCGGGCCGCGCGCCTCATTACTCGGAAGTGTTGTGTTCGAACTTCAGCCCCTACGCTTAAGTCGGGCGTGTCCCGCTACAGGAGGAAAATAAATTCAAAAAGAGTCAGAACAACTACTATGGGGACGATGTTTTTTTTTTGCGCATGTCTGAACAGTTGTTGCATGTTTAACTTTTCGTCGAAGATCCCCCTTTGGGCGTTGGCAGAACTGGGTTTAGTGGGACCTGGTTTGGTGATTTGTACTGGGGGAGGCCCCCCACGCCCCGTTCCACTAACCGGAACTGCCGCCGCCCGAAAACAAACACCTGCTACGGCAGACCTGGTTTAGTGATCCTGGCCAGTTCAGAGGCTCCGGGGACCTACCACTAATCGGGTCCCCTTACCTGGGGTCTTGGCTATACTCGACCCCTGTTGGGGGACATGCCCGACCTGACCATACAGTGTGGGCGCGGCCGCAAGAAACCCTCGCAAGAAACCCAACCCTGAGAACCCGTGCGCGAGGTGCACCTGAGGGGAAACCTGGAGCACCCTGAACGCAGCAGCTCCTTCAACAGCTGCGGGAAGTCACCGCGCAGCGCGAGGAGAGAAGAAACCCAGGGTACCCTGACGAAACTCAGATGGCTTCTTGATGGGCGCCCCCACTCTACCTGGGGTCCTGGCTATACTCGACCCTTGTGGGGGGACATGCCCGACCCGACCCTGCGCCAACTGCCAGCATGCCGAGTGGCGGGCTGCCCGCGCCCGACAGCTGGTGCCCCGCCCTGGCCCTGGCCGCCGGGCGCTCCCGGCACACAGTTTTCGTGCCAGCTGGTGCGCCCGCGGCCGCTCGCCGGGCCTGGCCCCATGCTCGCGCGAGACGTGCGCACCGGGACGCCTACAGCGGAAACCCGTGCACAAGAAAAAACCCTGCTCGCCTCCAGGGTGCCCTGGGTCTCTTGGGTTCCGATGGTCTTGGCGTTGGAGAGCGTGACGTTTCCCACACCAAAAATCCATGGACACCCTGGGGTCTCGGGGCCGGGTTTCTTGCGGGAGGTTTCTTGTGGTCGGGCTCCTACTGCACAGCGGAGGCCCGTCCACAAGAAACCTTCCACAAGAAGCCCAACCCCGAGACCCCTAAGACGTCCATCGATCTTCCACGTGGGGGCGTCACGCCTTCCACAGCAGAGCCCTCGAAACCCAAGAAGCCGCCCAGGGCACCCGGGAGGCAAGCAGGGTGTTCCTTAGCATGGGGCTCCAGTGTACTGGCCCACTGTGCGCTGCATCCGCCCGTGAGGGGTGCAGTGGAGCCCGAAAAGATCCCCAACGAGAGGCCCCCAAAAGAACCGAAAACCACATCCGAGGGACTGCCGAGAGGCCTCCCAAGAGACCCCCACAGGCATTCCAAAGGCTCCTGACCTTCGACACAGATGCGGTGGCGGGATGGGCCGAAGGCCACTAACTGTCTTATGAGTGGGCATGACATGTCAGGAACATCAACCATATTACAGTGCGAATGAACCTGGTGTAATACAGACAGACACAGGAAGGGAATGGCGCTGTGGTAGATCATGAAGGGGATGTTGCGACAGATGACGATAATATGAAGAGGGTATGGAGTACCTGCGGCAACGGATGAACACGCACGGAGAAAGAGAAGCCACACATCACAGAGAAAGGACGAGAGGACTCGCAAGGCAATCCAGGAGGATTGCTTTCTCGAGCTTTCCGTACGTCTCGAAGACTGTCTTCAGCTCATCCTCGCCAAAAAGATCACCACCCCTCTCCGTGCTCGCACACAACTGTTGGTCAATTTCTTGCTCATCCTCC